GGGTACCCCCCCCCAACCCCCGAACCCAAACCCTAAACCCTAAACCCTAAACCCTAAACCCTAAACCCTCCTGGAGAATAATGATGTGTTGGAGTCTCATGATTTCAACTGCGGCCAAGTGCTCGGAGGTTTGGGGTTGGGGGCAACTTTCATTTCCGGCAATTAACAAAAGGGCTGCGTCCATCACTGCAGCGCCGTTGAGCATTGTGGCCATCAGAATGTCGTGGCCGGGGCAGTCCACGAACGACACGTGCCTGCAAACCCTAAACCCTAAACCCTAAACCCTAAACCCTAAACCCTAAACCCTAAGCGCTGCGCGCGGCGCGGCGGGCGAGGCGCGCGCGAGGGCCGCGGGAAGCAACGGAATGAGTCGCTTCGCCGAAGACGGACAGCCACACCCGGAATCCACCCAACCCTAAACCCTAAACCCTAAACCCTAAACCCTAAACCCTAAACCCTAAACCCTCGAAGCTGGGAGCTGCGGCCGCTGCAGGCCAGCGGGGGGCGGCTGGGGAGGGCGGCGTGGGCGCGAGACGGCGGCTTGCAGAAGCGCAAGTGCAACAAACTCCAAACCCTAAACCCTAAACCCTAAACCCTAAACCCTAAACCCTAAACCCTAAACCCTCACCGCATCAACTTCATCTTCGCCCCGCAACCCTCGCGCATGCAAGGAGGGTCGTCTTCTTTCGCAGAGCCATAAGAGCAGTAGCACTCGGGGGGGGGGCAATTAGGGTTTGTGCACTTGTAGATCTTCGCGTTTGCGTACCTGCGGCAAACCCTAAACCCTAAACCCTAAACCCTAAACCCTAAACCCTAAACCCTAAACCCTAAACCCTGGACCCTGAACCCTTGACCCTGGACGCGAGGGGACGCGGCGCAGCTGCGCGGGGATGCAGGGCCTTTTTTCTGCGGCCCATTCGGGCCGCTTGAGGCCTCCAAACCCTAAACCCTAAACCCTAAACCCTAAACCCTAAACTCTAAACCCTAAACCCTAAACCCTAAACCCTACCCTAGCTTGATGGTGATGTTTCTTTCCTTTTCGTGTTTGAAGCGAACTGTCTGTACACCCGAAACCGCGCGAACCACTGTCGACTTCCCGTGGGCCACATGACCAATGGTCCCGAAGTTGATGGTGGCCTGTTCGCAAACCCTAAACCCTAAACCCTAAACCCTAAACCCTAAACCCTGAAGCCCACGCCCTGAAGCCTAGGTCCTGAACCCTAAACCCTAGGCCGTGGAGCTGGGCTTTTGATTCGGGCGGGCTCCGGGCGACTGCGCTGGACACCCAGACCAGCTCGCGAGGGTTTAGGGTTTAGGGTTTAGGGTTTAGGGTTTACCTGGCGGCTGATGACTTCTGGAGAAAGAGGCGTCAGCTTGCTGACGTCCAGCTTAGACAGGTCCTGAACAAAACCTCAAACCCTAAACCCTAAACCCTAAACCCTAAAACCTAAACCCTGAAGTCTGAAACCCGCAACACATTGGCGAGGAGGTTTAGTACTCCGTTGGAGATATCGCCGCGCTAAACCCTAAACCCTAAAACCCCAAACCGCAAGCCTTAACTCCAAACCCTAAACCCTAACTCCCAAACCCTAAACCCTAAACCCTAAACCCTAAACCCTCTTACCTGTGGGAGAAGGTGATCCACAGCAGCCGCCATTTTCCCGCACGTCGGCTTTGGGGTCGCTGCGCAGACGGCCAAACCCTAAACCCTAAACCCTAAGTCCCAAGCCCTAAACCCTAAACCCTAAACCCTAAACCCTAAACCGTAAGCCCCGGACCCTAAACACCAGGGTTGAGCTGCTGCGGCACTATTCGAAGGCAAATGAAACGCCCTAAAAAGATCGCGGAACCCGAAAAGCCTAAAGCCCAAACCCTAAACCCTAAACCCTAAACCCTAAACCCTCGCTGCAACCCTCATCGCGCCGCTAACCGTGTGGGGTTCCCGGGGGCAGAAGAAGACAGAAAAGATCTGAAGTCGTGGCCCCAAGGCTTCCAAGTGGTGTTTTAGGGTTTAGCGTTTAGGGTTTAGGGTTTAGGGTTTAGGGTTTAGGGTTTGCAGTGGGCCCACTGCCGGCGCATGCAGGACAGCCCAAGCCCCAAGACCGCCGCATGCACTGAGGATTCCCTAAACCCTAGGAAACTAATCTAAATTACCTCAGGGTTTAGGGTTTAGGGTTTCGGGTCGAGGGTTTAGGGTTTAGGGTTTAGGGTTTAGGGCTTTCCCTTCTTCCAGCAGTGGCAGGCGCCAGCTTCCTGCTGTACATACACTGCAGAGCCGCACACAAGCAGCACATCGATTCAAAAAAGGGTTTAGGGTTTGAGTTTGAACATTTTAAAGCTGCTGTTGAGGGTTTAGGAAACAGGGCTGGGGTTTAGGGTTTAGGGTTTAGGGTTTACACACAGCCGGGACGAACGTTACGGCGCTCTCGAGAGCCTCAGGCCCTCATCTTGCTGCAGCAGCAGCAGCAGCAGCAACAGCAGCAGACACAGCAGCGGCGAGAAGCTGCAGCAGCAGCGGGAGGCTGCAGCAGCAGCAGAAACAGAAGCAGCAGGAGGCCCCTGCGGCAGCTGCAGCAGGAACAGCAGCAGCGGCGGTATCAGCAGCAGCAACAGCAGCAGCAGCAGCAGCAGCGGCGGCAGCAACAGCATCACCTGCAGCAAGGTCCTTAACTGAAAACACAGCAGCAGCAGCAGCAGCAGCAGCAGCTGCTGCTGCTGCTGCTGCTGCTGCTGCTGCACTTGCTTGCCCCTCCTTCCTTCTACGTCGCCGCTTCAAAGCAGGAGCCGCGTCACCAACGCGGGCCCCCCAACAGCCAGCGTTTAGGGTTTAGGGTTTAGGGTTTAGGGTTTAGGGTTTAGGGTTTAGGGTTTAGGATGTTGAGGGTTTCTCGGCAGCTGCTGGGGGGGGGCCCCGGGCGCTCTCTTTGCAAGCCAACAGCTCACGGGCTTTCAGATGGGCCTTTTAGGAGAATTAAATTCAAATTCGACAAACAAATGAATCAAAAGAAATACGGAGTAAACCCTAAACCCTAAACCCTAAACCCTAAACCCTAAACCCTCGCAGGGACGCGTTCCGCGCCTGGCGATGCGTTGGCGCTTACAAGCCATTGAGATAAGGAGACAGAAATGTTAAACTAGGCGTTCTTATGAGGGTTTAGGGTTTAGGGTTTAGGGGCCCTGGGGTTTAGGGTTTAGGGTTTAGGGTTTAGGGTTTAGGGTTTGGGGTTTGAGCGCAGGATGTGCTGGTGTCTGGGGACGTGGACTGCCTGGTTTGCGTGGCGCGGGATTTGCTGAAACCCGAGGGTTTAGGGTTTCGTGAGGAGAAGGGTTTAGGGTTTGGGGATCCGCAAACCCTAAACCCTAAACCCTCGCCCAAGACCGAAGGGTTTTGGTCTGTCTTCGGCAGACGCGCAAAAGAGAGTTTGCATTTATTTTCTTTTCCAGATGCTGCTTTTGTTGCTGCTGCTCTCCAGGCCCACAACAGGGACACAGGCAAGCTAGGGTTTAGGGTTTAGGGTTTAGGGTTTAGGGTTTAGGGTTTAGGGTTTAGGGTCTAGGGTCTAGGGTTTAGGGTTTTTCGTGGCACTGGCTTCGGCGTTCGGGGGTTTAAAGTCCTCCCCTAAACGCCCTGGGGCCCAGCGTCGCCTGCAGCAGCAGCAGCAGCAGCAGCAGCAGCAGCAGCAGCAGCAGCAGCAGAAGGCAGCACTGGCAGCAGCAGCAGCAGCAGCGGCCGGGGGCGCGGCTCCCGCTGCAGCAGCCGTCGCAGCAGCGAGAGCAGCAGCCCTTGGAACCCAAACCCTAAATGAGGGTTTGAGTATTTTTATTTTATTTTCAATTTTGTCAAACAGACTCAAAACCCTAGCAGCATATTCCCAGCTGTACGTACACCTCAACGAGCGCATTCCCAGGGTCCTGCATCAGCTCTCAGGTAAACCCTAAACCCTAAACCCTAAACCCTCGTCGGGTCCTGCGTGCTCCTTGCACTCTTACCTTGAGGATTGAGGGGCTGGGATATCGACTAGACGTCGACGGTTTAGGGTTTAGGGTTTAGGGTTTAGGGTTTAGGGTTTAGGGTTTAGGGTTTGTGGCTGGGTGTTTTGCTGCAGGGAGCCATGTAGTGCGGATACTGGAGGCAGCAACAGTGCAGCAGCAGCAACAGCAGCAGCAGCAGCAGCTGCTGCAGCAGCACCAGCAGCACCAGCAGCAGCAGCAGCAGCTGCAGCTGCTGGCTCGCCTTGTATGGCGGAAGGTTGGGGCTTCGGTTTCCGCTCTAACCCCAGCAGGTCCTCTAAACCCTAAACCCTAAACCCCAAACCCTAAACCCTAAACCCTAGTCTTTCTTTGAGGGGTCCTATTCCGCTCGCAGTGGCTCGGGTTTAGGGCAGTGCATCGCCACGACAAGGGTTTAGGGTTTGCGGGCTAGAGCTGAGGCCTCAGGACTTAGGGTTTACTGTTTAGGGTTTAGGGTTTAGGGTCTAGGGTTTAGGGTTTAGGGTTTAGGGTTTGGTGCAGAGCTGGGCAGGGCCGTCTTGGCGTTTAATGGCTGCGGCCTTCGTTTGCCCCTTTTATTTCAACAAATTGAAGAAAGAGCTTTGGCTGTTGAGGAGCCCTTTCCCGTAAACCCTAAACCCTAAACCCTAAACCCTAAACCCTAATCGCCAAACCCTAAACACCAAACCCCAGCTCGTTGCGGCGGGCTTGCCGAACCCTCGGCCCATCAGAAGACCTTGCGGGGTTTAGGGTTTCCTTTAACTGAAGCTCTGCAGTAGGGTTTAGGATTTGGGGTTTAGGGTTTAGGGTTTAGGGTTTAGGGTTTGGGTTTTCAGGTCTCCGACGCATTGACGCTGTTTCGAGGGTTTGCAGCTGCAGCTTTCAGCTGCGATAATTTGCTGCAGAAATTCGAGCCGCTGCTGCAGCAGCACGCCCAGAGTTTCACCAGGTGAGGGTTTAGGGTTTAGGGTTTAGGGTTTTGCGTTTGGGGTTTAGGGTTTAGGGTTTAG